CTGACGTCAGCCCTGGGGCAATATTGCGCAATAATTAATTAAGGACTTTTCTTTATTAGTAAAAACACAGTTTATCTTCTAAAATTCATAAGTAATTCATCCGAGCTCCGTTTAAGTCCATTCAAGTCTCAGTAAATCAAGAAAAATGCAAAGAATCCATTAAAAATGGTTTTGTTTCCTGTTTCTGTAGACTTATAGCATGTTTTGCTTGTGTGCTTTGTTTGTCGCGTAGGTTTCGGCCGTTTCGTCGATCCGCGGTTTCTCGAAGACGTTGCTGAGGTCTCATCAGTGCGAGAGCAAGGCAAGTCATGCAATACGTTTGATCATATTGTACCCAATTTACAAATATCCCGCATTTCTATTAAATGTTGCATTCTTTTACAATATCATGTGGAATGGGTCCTATTACTCAGCCATTTATTGTTTACCATATGCCATTGATAACCTGGGTATCAAAATGACTAGATGTGGGTTTAGGAAATGCTTAGCCATGCTTAGTTCAACTAGCACACAAATGGGGATCACCTTATTACATAGACTTCGTCTATTGGCATAGCTTTAGATTGGTGCCACCGCAATGGTGTTAGTTAATTAAAATACACTGAATGGTGGGCTGTGGGTGCATGGTTTTGCTGGTCGCACCCATGGCAGTTAAGGACCGGTTCACGGGAAACCCTGGGAGACTTACCGTGCTTACCACAAGCGGGAGTGGGTAACTGCTTGATCTGAAGTATAGCTCGACCCTTTCCTAGGCACCGGTGGCGAGGGTGGGCGTGATGGAGTTGGGTCGGCCGGGGTGTCCGGTTGTCCAGCTGCCGGATTCACCGCGGCGCAAGAGGGGACCGCCCACTGCCTTTTGAGGGGTGGGGGTGAAACCTTAGCGTGGTGTGGATGGTTAGGGGAGGGTTATGTGGAGGGTCTTGTCACGATTTCCCCCTTTGCAGTATCATGGTGATACTTCGGGGCATGGCGACATGTGTGGAATCGTGTCTTGTGGGTACAGTTGTACACCTCTGGCCAGAGTAAAACTATTCGAATAGCCGTGCCCGCGGTTATGGGCGATCAACCAGATTCACCGTGATTAGTCTCACCCCTAGTTTAGCTTAATGAACTGGTGTAGTTCAGGTGGTTGGTTGGGCCTGTTGCAACGTGGTGTAGCGTTGGACAGTGTTTGGTTAATATTGATTAATTACTACAACTGTTTTACTGCCTTCAACTACCGTTTTTAAATGCTAGCTTTATGCAAAAGAACCTCTAGCCTCCTTTGGTTACATCCTGCATCATACCTCCTCTTCCGGTATGACTTGCTGAGTACAGTGGGTAGTACTCAGTCTTGCTCTCTTTTCCCCCACACCAGAGCTGAAGATCTTCCTAGTTGGAGCTGTTTTGTCAAGTTGGTTTCGTCGCTGCCGTCAAGGATTGCCTGTGGAGTGGAGCCGCCCGCTGCTGAAGTCAAGCTTCCCGGTTTAGCTCGCTTTTATCTTTTCCGCTGCATTTGTAATCTTTTCTATTTTTGTAAGACGTGGATCTGTATGTCAACAATTGTCGTTTGTGTACCCTGGCTGGTCCTGGACAGGGATTTAATGCACATTCAGCTTAGAAATTCTGGTTCGAGAATTTCTGGGCGTGACAGCTAACAACTTCAATTCCGTAGCTTCCGTCAAGCCCTTATGAAACACGCATTCATCATGCCCATCGTAGTCGCGACAAGCCATACATTCATCATCTTCGCAATCATTGTAGAAACCATTTAAACATTGATCATCACAACCATAACCAAGCCTAACTGTTGCAGTCGCCAATGACGGCATGCCGTCGAGCCGAGGAGCCCTCCCCGAATTTTTATCGAAGAAGAATGAGAGGAGGCTAGGGAAAGAGATCCAAAACCTGTGGCTGGTAAAGAATGAACAGAACATGATGCTCAGATGCTTCACGGATGGGGAGCACATCTCCAAAGCATCCATCTGGCAACCGTGCATCTTGAGATCCAACAATGCCGGACAGCTCGTGAAATCAAGAACCCGGTTGCTAGCCCGGACACCCTGAAGCTCCAAGAAAGTGAGGTTTTGGGAGACGAGGTGTTCGTCGAAGATCTGGAAGGAATTCCGGGAGTTGACGAAGATTATGAACCGGAGCACCATGGCATGGTGGCGGAGAGCGCTGCGGATCCAGCGGTTGCCACGCCGCGCTTCGCCGGGGGAGGGCTCGTCGAGATCGAGATCGAAAACGCAGGTGTCCAGCGGCGCGCCGCCGCGGCGGAGGCGGAGCAGGCGGTCGACGAAGCGGGCGAACGCGTTTGGCGGTCGCCCACCCCCTGGGGCCGACGACGCGGACGGCGGGCGCGGACCTCCAGAGGTCGCGCCAGCGCCTGGCAAGCACGCAGGTCCGCACCGCGTCCCGCGACGGCAGGAGGGAGAGGACTTGGTGGAGGAGGTCCTCCGGGAGGGCGCTGATGCGGTCCTCACCGCTCGCCATGGCGCGCGGGCTCTTCCTTGCCGGTCGGGCACTCCGTCGAACAGGTGGCGTGCGTCGCCGCCGGGCGCCGGCGCTGCGAGTGGCGACGCCAAGAACCGACGAGTGCCTGGATAAAATGGGTGAGAGTGAAGACTGAAGGTTTCAGTCAGTCAAAGAAACACTAGAATTAATTCAATTCTCCCCAAATTTCTCCTTTGCGTAGAGTTGTCACATAATTATGCTTCTAAAATGTTTTTTCCTTCAACAAGTGAAACCAAATAGAAAAAAGAATACGAAGTGAGCGCAACTCAACTAGTTAGCTAGTTAGGTTTCTTATAATTATGAAATCAGCTCACCCAGGTTCAAGTTGTAGATTTACACGGGTGCTCGTATTTACAATTAAATTGTTCTTTCGGTGGTACCTATCGACAAACCTTGACAGTGAGGCGTCCGTGTTGACTTCGTCAATCTCAAGATATTTCAGCAGCAGATGACGTACATGTCGGTGACAGCCAAGAAGCCACAGATATGGCGCGTAATAGCCATCGGCAAGAACAACGGTGATGAAGGAAGGAAGTAGAGCCCCAAGGGTAATTTTGTCCAGGATGCGTCTGGTTGAGAGTGATATTTTATTGTTCTTTTTAAGTAGTGGCATTTGGCCACGAAGCCACTTTTGATGATGGTGTAATCCTAAATTTCTCCTTTAGTTATGGGTATATAATTCAAGAAATTTTCCACTAATGTTGTATCGGGCATATGAGGTAATGTACTAAGGGCCCCTTTGAATCGCGGGATTGAGAAAACGTAGGAATAGGAAAAACTTAAGATTTTGATAGAATGTAGGGCCCCTTTGATTTGGAGGAAAAACATAGGAATTTTAGAGGATTTCAATCCTATAGGAAAATTTCCTATGAAACCCTTTGAAGCAAATGATTGAATCCTATCTAAGGGCCCCTTTGAATCGCAGGATTAAGAAAACGTAGGAATAGGAAAAACGTAGGATTTTGATAAGAATGTAAGTGTAAGGGCCCCTTTGAATCAAAGGATTTATCTAGGAATTTCATAGGATTCAAATCCTACACGAAATTTTCCTACTTAGCCCTTTGATTCAAAGGATTGAAGTTTTCCAAATCCTATGAAATTCCTATAGAATGGCACATTGTATGTGGATTTTGGAGGAAATATAGCAAGAGCTCTAACCTCTTGGAAAATTCCCTTTGAGTCTATCTCTCTCATCCGATTCCTGTGTTTTTCCTGTGCTCCAATCAAACAACTATTACTGTGTTTTTCCTGTGTTTTGCAATCCTCTGTTTTACACTTCAATTCCTATCAGAATCCTGTGTTTTTCCTATTCCTTCATTTTTTCAACCCTGCAATTCAAAGGGGCCCTAAAACAGAGGATTGCAAAACACAGGAAAAACATAAGAATGACCGTTTGATTGAACCACAGGAAAAACACAGGAATTGGATGAGAGAGATAGACTCAAATAAAAGTTAGCAAGAGGTTGAAGTTCTTGCTAAATTTCCTTCAAAATCTCTATAGGATTATCCATTCCATAGGAATTTCAAAGGATTGGATATGATCCAATCCTTTGTTTCAAAGGGCTTCATAGGAAATTTTCCTAAAGGATTGAAATCCTCTAAAATTCCTATGTTTTTCTTCCAAATCAAAGACCCTAAATCTATCTAGTATCGGACCATAAAATCATTCATATTCCTCAGTCCTGATGCACATGGAGTATAATGAATATATATCACATTCTTATAGCCTTTGTGTGTCCGTCATGTTTAGCAAGGCACGCTCAGTCTACTTGCATGTATGTTCTCGTTTGTGAGCAACTTTTACATTCGTACCGTCGGTTGTACATTTGTACGAGACAACAGACAAGTATTCGATACGAGCTAAGTTCATTATTTCAGTCACCTTTCTTGTCAACCAAAGCCTAAAGTCCATGTATGCTCATTAAGGTGCAGTGGGTTGATGATTAAATAAAAATATGGTACATGTCAATTTGTGTTACAATGTAAAATAGTCCTATACGATCGGCAGCTTTAAGTCTGTAAATTTAGAAACAAAGAGTATATCCAACGGTAATTTCTAAAACAATGGTGTGAAAGCGTCCCATACTTTTTTCTCTAGCCTAAACAAATAACTTTTGTTGCCTATACAGGCACGTCCATTCTCCTTGACTTACAACCATTATTAGAAATTAATTAATGTGTTTGAACACGCCTTTGTCACTATATTTTCCAAGTTCACATTATAACACAATTTTGAGATATAAACGCAACTATACAAGAATTATAACTTATATGGCATTTGGCCGCATTTAATGCATGCAACGGATTTATCCAGAATTTCATCCAAATGGGATAAAAAAAAGAATTATCTGCTATTAGCAATGTGAATCCGTTCCAATTTCCATGCTACATATACCTCCTGTAACCCTCAATAGCATGTACCACAAAAACACTACTATCTACACTTCTCGCTACTTCTGCTCACTAGTTACATCCTACTACGTGATTACCTAGCAATGAATGCTATGGAGGACGTGGTTGTTCTCATCGTTGGTGCGGGGCCAGCAGGCCTAGCAACGGCGGCGTGCCTTGCACAGCGGCATGTGCCATACATCATTGTCGAGCGTGAGTCCAGCACCGCATCGTTGTGGCGCCACCGTGCCTACGACCGCCTCAAGCTACACCTCGCCAAGGAGTTCTGCGAGCTGCCACACATGGCGTATCCGGCGGGCACGCCGACGTACGTTCCTAGGGATATGTTTGTGGAGTACCTAGATAGCTATGCTAACCAGTTTGGGATACGGCCGAGGTACCACACTGCTGTTGAGTCAGCAATACATGATAAAGGTAAGAACCAATGGGTCGTGCTAGTACGAGACATGGACACTAGTGTTGTGGCAAGGCTTGCTACACAGTTCCTTGTTGTGGCCGCTGGCGAGAACAGTGCGGCAAACATTCCACCAATTCCTGGCCTCAGTAGGTTCGAGGGAGAAGCCATTCACTCGTCAGCTTACAAGTCCGGGAGAGCCTATACCGGGAAGAGTGTGCTTGTGGTAGGTGCCGGGAATTCTGGCATGGAGATCGCTTATGACCTTGCCACGCATGGAGCCCACACCTCCATAGTTGTTCGTAGCCCGGTATGTACAACATATTTGTTTATCTTGCATTACACTCCATTATGTGTTCAAACCTATATATGTTTCTTGTTTATTGTTCAAGCAATGATGGAATACATTAATTCCATTATTGATTCGTAATTAGAATTTATTCATGTAGTATTTTATCTTTGGTTCTACATTTGCATGTAGATACTATAAATGAGGAATGTGATTATATCTAAATGTTTATCCGAAATTGTCATGTTGTATCTTTCTATAGATAAAAACTTTTTCCTAATATAATGGTCATCTAATGGTTTTGTGGCACCTAAATACAGGTACACATAATGACCAAAGAACTAATATGGTATGGGATGACAATGGTGCAAAATTTAGGGCTAAATGTGACAGCAGTGGACTCTCTTCTTGTAATGGCGGCAAATTTCTATTTCGGAGACTTGTCAAAACATGGTATTATGAGGCCTAAAATGGGTCCTCTCTTACTCAAGTCACAAACAGGCCGGTCTGCCGTTATTGATGTTGGCACTGCAAGATTAATCAAAGGAGGAGTTATCAAAGTAATCATGCATCTACACTCTTTAGATACAAAATTAAGTTGGTAGTGCTTGTGAAGTTTCTAGCCTCAATTGATGTTCAGACTTTACACCATTTCTTTTCATATCTCTATTAGGTGTTCCAAGGAATATCAAAGATAAATACAAACAGTGTTGAATTTCATGGTGGGAGGCAAAATTCATTTGACGCCATTGTATTTGCGACAGGTTACAAAAGCACAGTTAATGCATGGCTAAAGGTACAAAGAATATGGATATTGCTTTAAACTCTTCTCTCTTCTTTTTTAATTCTATTTGTTTACACAATAATATATTTTGTTGCATTATGCATGATTTTGTTTCATTATTACAAAAGGATAATCCTTTTTTATCGGTTGCAGAATGGTGAAAGCATGTTTAAAGACGATGGTTTCCCTAAAAATTATTTTCCAAATCATTGGAGAGGTGAAAATGGGTTGTATTGTGCTGGGTTTGCTAGGAGAGGATTGGCCGGTATTGCCATGGATGCGAAAAATATTGCAAATGACATCGTGGCCGCCATGGATAAAATGTCATGTTAAATTTGGTTCCCTTCTATTCTGAAGAAAGGTTATATTAAATTAAACATTATGTTAAGGCATGGCTATGTTTGTATAAAAGAAAGAGGCATAAGTATGTTTCAACAGCTTCAGCTCGTGTAAAATCCAACTTACTGTGTAAAAATAGTGGAAACAACTGATATTGTTTAATGAGAAGCTATCATTTAAAAGGGCTCGTCTCTCTGTGTGGAGAAGGTGAACTATATGCATGGTTTTGAAACACCGAACAATACCAAAATTTGCATGTTCAACCTTTCCATTTTCCACCGCACCACGCAGCAGGACTAGAGAAATACTTCGTATTTGTTAAAGAAAATCAGTACTACGAAAACAGCCTAGGATTTTTTTTCCACTTCTAGTCATTCTTGAAAAGAAATCTTCTTCTCATCCTTTCAATCTCTAAATATGTAATGAAAAGGAGTTTGCACCTTGTCTAGTTTGTGCATAACCCTGCTATTTCTTTTGGATTCGTCACCGCGTATGGTGGACTCATAGCATCACATCCACAGCCAGGGCCGTCCCCCAAAAATATGGAGGTCCGGTACAAGATATAAAATGAGGCCTTATATGACAGCTAAAGCTATGAAAAAAAGCTCACACGCATATGACGATCTAGCTAGGTAAAAGAAAAATAGCTGCACCAATTCAGTTCTTCTCACTAATTAAGTGGAAAAATGAAATTGTTATTTTCTAGATGATACGTTCACATCACTGTCATGAGGTATATAGTTCTTCAGTGTAGCTATAATTATCACCGAACCAAAGGAGTAAATTCAATGAAACAGAAAGAGAGAAATTAATCCGAAACATATCAGAACTCAGAAAATATTAGTATGGATTAAAATATATAAAATTTTGGATCCCAAATTTTTTGGGCCCTGTCTCGCTCATGCCCAGGATAGCCCTGGCCGCAACAAAGAAACATGTGGGTTCATCCTAATATCATAGGAAGTATTGTAGGAACGTAACAAATGATTTTCAAGAACGAGGAGACTTCACTCCCAAAGATCATCACTCACATAATGCATGGGCATTACGCTTATAGGATTTTTAAAAATCACACTTTTAGCCAAGTGCCAACTTGCACGCCCAAACTGGTTATTTTTGTTTCAAAAATTGAGGGAAAAAAATCATGGGAACAGTAGAATGGGAACTTCTGAAATTTTGAAAAAAATAATGTAAATAATAGAAATGTGAAGAAATATGGGTTGAATGTAAGCAATTCTTTTTTTTTTGCAAAATTCAAAACTCGTTCCAAATTGTGAAAACCAAAAACAATTTGGGGACCACTATAATGGAAATATCTGATTTTTTGATAAATTGAATAAAAAAAGATAAGAATTTAATAACTTTTCATAGATTAAAAATTGATTTTTTTTCAAGGGAAAGGTATGACATGGAATTTTAACAATTTTAATCGAAGATATAAAACACTGGCTTGCCACTTGGCCAGGTCAGTAGTGCTTCGAAAATTTTGCCTCTCCAATTTTTACCAAAGTACTGTAGAGAAGGCCCCTACGTTAAATGAGTAATAGGACCATTGTTTTTTATCTAATTATCAACAAAACGGATTATCCCGTGACAAAGAAACTATATTTTTATTTGAATTTTACAGAGGAAAAAATGCCACAATGTTCTATATCAAAATTTCCCTAATAACAAACATATTTGTTTTGGCAACGAATAACAAATATATTTCAATATAACACTATAAACCGTACATATTAAAATAGACTACCGATATTTTCCTTTCGTTGTTTTCCCCTGTTACAGGGGAGTACAGCTATCATTTTGTGGTTATTTCAATATAATTTTTGCTGAGAGGTTTTCTTTGCAACAGAGGAACAATGGAAAATTATGAAGTAATTCGGCGCAAATTGAATTAATTCGTGTGATATTTGTTCTGCACCGGAGGAATTTAGAGATATTTTGAGAGAATTGAATTAATCCGTGTGATATATCACTAAAATTCTTTCGTAGCCTTAAAATTACCTCGTCACTGTCTTGTACTCCCTCCGTTTCAAAATATTTGACACCGTTGACTTTTTAGTACGTATTTGACCATTCGTCTTATTCAAAAAATTTAAGTATTTATTTATTCTTTTCATATGATCTGATTCATTGTTAAATATACTTTCATGTAGACATGTAGTTTTACATATTTCATAAAATTTTTTAATAAAACGAACGGTCAAACATGTACTTAAAAAGTTAGCGGTGTGAAACATTTTGAAACAGAGGAGGGATTGTTCTCCATTCTCCACTCTCCTCTCTCTCAATCATTCTAATCGATAGCACTCGCCGCGGCGGCGCACGCCACCTGTTCGACGGAAAGCCCCGCCGACGAGGAAGAGCCCGGCCGCCACCACATGGCGAGCGGGGCGGACCGCATCAGCGACCTCCCGGACGACGTCATCCACCACGTCCTCTCCCTCCTGCCGTCGCGGGACGCGGTGCGGACCTGCGCGCTCGCCCGCCGCTGGCGCGACCTCTGGAGGTCCGTGCCCGCCGTCCGCGTCGCCGGCGACAGGGGGTGGGCCAGCTTCGACGCGCTCGCCCGCTTCGTCGACAGCCTGCTCCGCCTCCGCCGCGGCGGCGCGGCGCTGGACGCCTGCGACTTCGACCTCAGATTCGACGGCGCCTTCCCCGGCGAGGAGCTGCAGGGCGACACCTGGATCCGCCGCGCCCTTCGCCGCCAGGTCCGGGCGCTCCGGTTCGCCGTCTCCACCCACCCCCGGGTGCCCATCCCTCTCTCGGACTCGCCCCTCGTCTCCCACAGCCTCACAACCCTAGAGCTGAGGGGTGTCCAGGGAAACGACCAGGTTCTTGATTTCTCGAGCTGTCCTTCGCTGGTGGATCTCAAGATGAAGGATTGCTACGTTGGTGGCCTGGAAATGTGGTCTCCATCGTTGAAGCATCTGAGCATAACATACTGCGTCTTCTACTGCGACTATCGCACCAGGATGGATTTCCCTAGCCTTGTCACCTTCAAGTTCAACACAAATACCGGGAGGACTCCGTTGCTCGAGACGATGCCTTCGTTGGCAACCGCGGCGGTTAGGCTTGATCATTTCTGTCATGACCGATGCGCAAATGGTTGGTACGATGATTGCGGGGATGCTGGTTGTAAGGGTTGTCATGATTATTATAGGCCTGATGAATACGACTGCGTGTTTCTCGAAGGCTTGACGGAAGCTACGGACTTGACTTTGTTAGCTTATTCTAAAGTGGTATGCTTGCAGCTTCTTCTCTCGTAACTCGTAGCATTATCTTGAGTTTTATCACTTCTTGTGATGTAACCATAGCTAAAATTACATTGACATATGACTTCATGCATAAGCTTATTTCATTTGTTCCTTTCAAATCATCACACTTCAACCTAATTGTTCATGATTGTCATGCTACAGCATAATTGAAAGTTTTGCAATTTCTTACAGAACCAGATAGATAGTGATTGCTAACTTATTTGAATTGCGCCAGCCTTAGGATACTTTTGTACACATTAGATGAACATACAGAAGAGATGAATTATAAAACCTTTTTCATCAGACGTTCATTACTATATGATCACTGTTTGCATTTTAACTTTTCTTTGGTAAATTCGTTATTTGATCTTGTGACCTTGCATTATGTGCAGTACCTTTTCAACAGGGATTTAAAGTGGTGCTCTACATTTAGCAAGTTAAAGACTTTGTTTCTGAATGCATGGTTTGTGGCTCCTGACCTCAGTGCACTAGCTTGGTTTCTCCAACACGCACCTCTTCTTGAAAGGCTTTTTCTTAGAGTTTCAAAGGTATTACTATATTTTGTACATGTATGTCCTGCTTTGATCTGTTTAGTAAAGTATTTGTTGGCATCAGGTACCCAAAAATTTAGTGGGAATGGATGGAAGTTTCAATCAATTGGAACAACCATTTGCAGCTAGCCATCTTCAAATAGTTGAAATCTATTGCAGAGAGGTTGATGGGATTATTCTCAAAATTTTGAAGGTCTTGAATGCCAATGGTGTACCACTAGAGAAAATTAGTATCCGATGTTCTGGCTGTGAGTTATCTATGAACACCCACGCTTCCTATTATGCAGTTGTCAATATGTGTTGTAGAGCCAAGCACTGTCCATAGTTATATATAAGTTCTGACTTAATCACAGTATGCATTGAGTATTTCTGAATTTTGTTTGCTATGTCTTACATGTACTATCTGCTGATACTTTTGTGCATGTTCTACTGTTTTTACTGATGGAAATGTCAACAAATGCACATATTATCCTCCAATTCAGCCCATTGTGATTTTGATTTTATTTTTTAGGACTAACCCATTTTGATTGAACCTGCTGCCATATAGATCCTTCTCAAATGCTTATACAAACAATATTTGAATATCTCATCCTTTAGTGAAGCTGTGTTCCCTTGTGTGTGTTGAACACTGCACCTTTACTATTTAGGCTGAGTTCGGGAAAACAGTGTTGCACATTAACGCGTGATTAATTAAGTACTCCCTCCGTTTCGTTTTGTTTGTCGCTGTAGCTCATTTCAAAAAGAGTCAAAATGTTTGACGTCGTAGTACACCGGCCGATACCGTTTCCATCTTTACCCCTCAGTCGGCGGCGCGGAGAAGCAGGAGGAGCTCCTCCGCCGGCGGTCCTCCTGCCCCTGCCACGGCGAGGCCCTCCACGCATGGCGCTCAAGTCCGGCGCCGCCTCCCACGCGCATAGTCCCCTTCCGCCGACGAAGCGCCGCCGCGGCACCATGGCCGGAGGAGGAGCCACGCTGGCGGCGGCAGCGTGGGAGATCGCCGTCGTCTTCCGTCCTCCGGCCGCTCCTCGCCTTCGCCTTCGTCCTCTCCATCATCGCCCTCATTACGGCTGCCCTCTCCTCCTCTCGATTCGGCTTTGGCTCGAGGGCTTTTCCCTGATTCTTTCGTTCGCTGCTCGCGGCGGCGGCGGGTTCGCAGGCTGATACATGGCGTGGAGGACGGTGCTGGTGCACGTCTCGTTGGTGCAGGAGATCGCCGGGCTTCGAAAAGCTCCATTGCCACAAGTCTCCTCCTTTCTTTTTTCTTTCTTCAGCTGGATGTCCAGAATTTACCTGATTATTTCATCCGGTTAAGATAGCTGTGCACTTGATTGCAGATTAAGCTACTGAACGGCCTGCAGATTGTCTGATTTGGTTAGCCGTATGTTGATTGTTGATGTTCGTTTTTTAGAGAATGCACATTGCATTTGCTTGGCTATTTGATGTTCATCGAAGGGGAAATTTTTCTGTTTCTGGGAAATTCTGGTCGTGTTCACTGGGGACTGATTGTTGTGTATTTGATCAGATGATTAGTGCTTAGTACTGTCAGTGATGTAATATGCGTGGGAATTTTGGATGTTATAATGAGAAATTGGAAACAAAAATTGGAACTTGAGATACAGATTCAGAGATGCACACCAAGCTTGTAAAGTGGCTGCTGCCATCCCAGCTGATGTTTCTTGTAAATTGAGATAGCTAGTCTGTAAACAGAGTATTCAGACACAGAGCTTGTAAAGTGGCTGCTGCCATCCCAGTTGCTGTTTCTTGTAAATTGAGATAGCTAGTCTGTAATTATATCAAAGGACCATTGACAGTTCACACCATTGATCTTAGATAAGCTTAGCTAATGTGTTCATGTGAAATAAAAATACTAATAAAAAAATCAAAGGACATATTCAGGTCCATATATCCTCCTGCTTTCTCAAAAATCAAAGGACATGTTCTGCACAGAATGACTGCACACATGGGCTACTTTCTAGAAAAAGAGAGAAAAAAAAGAAAGCCTCCAATTCATTCTGTTCAGATCAACAACAGCACCAACAATTTCAGATATCAGCAACAGCAGTAACACCAACAATTTCAGATATCAACAACAGCAGCAACAGCAACAGCAGCAACACCAAAAATTTCAGATTAGCTTAGCAGCAATTTCATATCCGCACCCTGCTGCAGCAACAAACAAATTCATATCAGGTATCTGCCATGGTCCTGAAAAGGAGTAAAAAGAATGCCACTAATTAGCACACATCAAACTAGTTAGGCACATGAAGCGATTTTCATGAAAATAAAATATAACCAAAGTAGTTTACCTGAGATAATTGTTAGCATTATTTACTGACTTAGCATCACACCTTAGTTGCAAAGGAAGGCGACCTTGCCTTTCAAGCACTCCTTTTTTTATGTGTGGAAGATCATAGGAGTTGTCACCGAGTACTTCTATGACTTCCCTCATGCATGCGTGAAGAGACAAGAAAATCCTGTTTGATAGCCTCACTGGATAATCTTCAAATGCTCGATCGATGGCGGCTACAAGTTCTTCTGTTGTTGTTGAGGCTGATTTGTACTGGATGGACTGAATGGAGTTGAAGAAACCCAGATCCAAGACATTCAAATCTGGGGAATTTGCCGGCTGGCAAACAAGTTTGATGTTAAAGCCGTCTTGCTTCGCGGCCTCACAAAACATTCTGTCGTCCGGTGCAATATGAGGCCGAGCATTATCCTGCTGGATGTATATAGGTTTGCCAGCGTCTTCACGAGGCCACTTAGCCCGAACAGCTGGCAATACCTTTTCTATCATGAAGCTTCGGATTACCTCCTTTGTGATTGACTCAATGGGCTTCATCTCGATTGTCCCTGCAGGACGGTTCACACTTGACCTCTTTGCAGCTGTGTATGTCACAAAAGGAAAACATCCAATTTTTCCATCAAAGATGCAGTTTCCATTTGAGTCAAACCTTGGTCTGGCGAGAGCTGTTAAGATCATTATTTTTGGGATGAAGTTTTTGTTTTGAATTGTCCTGATGCGACGCGAGGCAGTTGGAGCTGCGTAATATCGCACAGTCTTCCTCGTAATGTTGAACCACTTCTCATCTATGAAAATGAAATCAAACAGTGGTTTGAAGACAAGATTGTGAGGCACACTCCTTGGGTCAAGCATTTCAATACACCACTTCAGCCGATCAATTTTGTTTTGGTCTGTCAAGTAGGGATCCAATGAGCTAGATACACGCTTTATAGCACCCTCTTTTTTCATTCTGTAGACCTTACTCGTGCTAACACCAAGTTGAGTAGCTACATCCTGTATTGTGGTGCGGCTCAATATTGAAATATCTTCGAGACAGGACACATCCACCACCTTCTTCTTTCTGCCACACCTAGATCTTCCACTCGCAACATCAACTGAAATACCTTGATCCAAACAGCTTTTGCCTTTTTTCCATATCCGCTGTACTGTCCTGATAGGCACCGAGAATTTAGCTGAAACCTCCTTGCTCTCATGGCCCTTCAAATATCCTTTTCTTGCCTTTACAAGCATGGCGTCAAAGATTGCTCTCCGTTTGTCATTATCAAGCACGACATTCTTGTGTGTATTCTCCTGAGGAACTAGGATAGCATCATCAACATCAGAATCGAAGAAAGGATCAAACTGAGGCTGTACATTCTCCTGGCCAGGGTCAACACCTATCTCCTCTAGAGTGACTAGGACATCATCATCAGCATTTGAATCGAAGGGATCAAATCCAGCCTCTCCATTGCCTTGAGCATCTGTGGCAGCACTGTGATCGAATCCAGCCTCTCCATTGCCTTGAGCATCTGTGGCAGCACTGTGATCAAATCCAGCCTCTCCGGGATCTGTGGCAGCATATGTATCTCCCGGTTCCAAATTTAAATCAATATCCATTGTTCTTTGCTCTCGACCTTGACAAATTCCATGGGTTGTAGCAGAAGGTGATGTTCGTTGTTGTATAGAAGGAGACCTTATCCGTATGCTAGGGGACAGTAACATTCTGCTCAACGGGGTTCTAAAGAATGGCATTGCCACGCAGGGAGACTTCCTTTTTTTGCCTTTTTTCCCTCCAACATTGGACCCATCTAGTGTAACCCTGCAAAAGGTGTTGCAACGAAGTTGTCATGAATGCACATTTTGGATTATAAGTTGCATCAAATGTTAAGAGTGAAAAGCATAGTAAGGTTCTGAGAAAAGGTAAAAGCATCCATTCTGTAAGACATCTAGTACTGGTTGTATAGCATAACTGGACAGACAACCATGTGATCTAACAAGAAATTATACAATAACAAGAACTCCAATTTATGAAGCAATAAGATAAGGAAAAGACTTATGCTAAATGTTTGCATAAACTAGAACAACCAGCAATAGCTCCCTGTAAATAGAAATACAATGCTATTTCCTTGCTCTAATTAATCGAATTTTGCACAAGCAGTAGCCATGAACTGAACTATGTGAGGTTAGATGTGAAAATTCATTTAACCTCGCAATAGTGAGCATCTATAGAGTTTTCCTGAAAATAACACATTTTAGGAACACAAAATACATCATCGAAAAAAAATCGAATACGAACCTTGGAGAGAGAGCAGTTGAGGACGAAGCCGCGGCGGCGAGGCGCTCGACACGATCCTCTGCACCGCCGTCGCCGACCTCCTGAGCCGCTTTCTTCCATGGTGTGACAAATTTGCGACGTCTACCTACCCTGCCCTCCTCCTTCGTCATGACCAACGGCGTCCAGGAAGAACACCCAGTATCTTCCATACAAAATCAAGAACGGACAAGAAATGAACAACCAAATAAACATGGTAAAAAATACCAGAAGACAAGAAACACATGGTAAACAACAACCGATCAATTCAAAGAAACTACTCCGTAAACCATACACTGTTGTCCAGGAATCAGATAGAATTTATCATTTTAATTTAGTTCTGCTGGTGTAGCTCAACTATAGTGTCAGCATTACATTAGGCACAAATAATGTTCAGATAATATCTACTTTATCCACTGATCTAGCTCAACTGTGGTGTCAGCATTGCATTAGTCACAGATTACCTAGGTAAAACTGCTAATTACAAGTGAAATATTGGTGCCATGATGGTCATTGTCACACTAAGCATTTTATTAGAAGCAAATCGTTCCTGCAAAATGAAGAATTATCTACAACACACCTTGCAAAAATTCAGAGCAAATCTACAAGTAATATTGCGAATAATCAAAAGATCAAAAGCTACTGCCACATGAACAATTCAAGATCAAACCTTAATCACCACCCACTAAAACCTTATTAAACCAACATCAATTCATTATCATCATCATCATCATCATCTTGAACGTGATCAGCATCATCTAAACCCAATATGCTAAACCTCCAACGAGCCGCCGGACTTGGCAGTGCCGCAGTGTGAGTACTACCCTGACCAAAATCTCAGTACGCCAGCTTCTTGCTGGGCTCCGGCGATGGCGAGCCGGCGGCGCTGCCCGGTGGTGGCAAATCGCAAAGAACGCCACCCGCCACTACACTACTCTACAGCTTCGGAGGAGAGGATGCGTCGGCCAGATACCCCTAGTAGCCGGAGAGCGGCGGCGGGATGCGGTGGCCGGCGACTTCACCGGCGGCGGTGGGCGCAGGCTCGCGAAGAGACGGGAGGGAGGTGAGAGAAGGTGTGGGAAGAGGGGAAAGAGAAGGGTGTGCTCACCGGCGGGGGGAAGCAGGATGCCGGCGCCGCTGCCCGTGGGAAGGGGAAGCCGCGACAGGGGTGGTGGGGAAGAGCACCGCCGTCCCCGCCGTCGGCCCTGCCACGACGCTCGGGATCGAGATGGGGCACCGCCGCCGTCACGCGTAGAAGGGAAGGGGAATGAATCAGTGAAGAGGAAGGGCAAAAGGGTAAATTCACGTCAACCTTAATCTCGCCGAAGCTGTCGGAAACGACAAACAAAACGAAACGGAGGGAGTATTATTTATTATCAAGCGTATACCTACTCCCTTCGTCAAAAAAAAAGTAGATATGACCTCTCCTACTACGATAATCTAAATATATAATTGTCCATATCAATTGTACTAGGATAGTTCACACCTCCCGTCTAGGTTGAGTTTTTTTTTTTTTTTGAGACGGAGAGAGCACATGATCAAATAGTAGTGCAGCGAAGAGAGTTCCTCTAACGTAGCCTCCCACTTGATGTGGTCACTGATATGTGAGCCTGTGGATAGGTCCCACATGTAAGTAACCATGCCTTACATTAGATGATCTCAATTTGAATACAATTTACTACTATTTTATCATTGACAAACCTTTATTTTTCTCTTAACAAACAAGATTTGGCCAAGATTTTGTTTCATGTTATTTATTTTCATCTGTTAACAACCATAGCGCTTCTCACTAGTAAGGCCTTGTTTAGTTGGGGAAATTTTTTGGGTTTGATTGTCACATCGGATATACGGACACACATTTAAAATATTAAACATAGTTTAATAACAAAACAAATTACAAATTCTGCCAGGAAACTACAAGACGAATTTATTAAGCCTAATTAATCTATTATTAGCAAATGTTTACTGTAGCACCGTATTATCAAATCATGGCGCAATTAGGCTCAAAAGATTCGTCTCGTAATTTACACGTAAACTGTGTAATTAGTTTTTTTTCCACATTTAATACTTCATGCATATGTCCAAACATTCGATGTGATGGGTGAAAAGTTTTTGTTTTGGGAACTAAATAAGGCCTAATAATAAAAGGCACAAATTAATTGGTGACATAGCAGGCCAAAGTGCCAACTAGTTGAACTGAGCCACTGAAGATCAACACAGAAACGAAGAATCCAGGCTCGCACATCCGCTCGGCCAGAAACACATAAAAAGGACATTGCAGCAAACGATATGTCTAGATTGCATCAATATGGTACGGAGAATGAGACACGACTAGTCAGAGGACAGCAACGCCACTGCTGTCGTCGTTTCTGAATAATAAGGGAGACTGCATGCACACGTCAATAGAGAACAGCCCAAACCTTCAGAACCTTTGCTTTGATCCAAAACGGCCAACCTAAACACAAACCTGCATGAGATAAGTAGAAAATTTCAGTGATTTGATAATAGACTCAAATGCAGTTGTCCTTGTTATCACTCACAAAAGTTTTATCCTAACAGTGACTTATTATCACCTCCTCCCTGTACTCACAACAGAGCACTTCTTTGATAAAGCTTCCTGCTTCCCAACAGATAGGCCTTTGATACAGAAATTCATGCGTCTATTGCACCACACTTACACTATTTGATTATGGTCATAAGGGTAAACAATATAAGTTTGGTGGATCTGAATCAATATGGTTACTATAAAGGGAACAAAACAACATATCCTATCTTTTATGTGCAGACAAGCTAGAGAATGCCCATTGTTTGATTGTGAACTCTGAAGATTTCGATTACCAAACAGAGACAAAATTACATAAAGTGAAGCAATGAAAAGAAAAAAGAACAACACCAGGCTGACCAGGTGTCATGTAAAATAGTTAACCACTCAAGATAAGCAAGCAGATTAGATAATAAATACAGTGAATTCAGATCAAACACTTGATGTCAACTTGTCAAGTTCTTATAGTCTTTAGATGAGCACTTAACTGCTGCAGTAGTAGGGTAGTAAAATTTTAATCTAACCACTGACAAGGACAATTTTAATCATTCGACTATTTTAACCAATGTTACGAACTAGAATTCGAAATTGGGGTTAGGAACAGAAGAACAGAGTTGAGACAGGAAGAGCAACTTGGAGAGTAAGAGCAACTTGGAGGCGGAGGGGGGGAGGGGAGGAAGGCAAGGCCGGCGAGCCTCGCCTCGCCTGCTGGGTGCGGGGGAGGGAGCGGCCGCGCCGGCGAGTGGCGACTCGCGTGTGAGGAATGCCGTCGAGCCGGCCGTCGGGAAGGGATTGAGCTCGTCTGACTCGCTTCTCTCTCACCTGGTCACTGATATATCAGTGCCGAATTAGGATCCTCTGACGTGAAGTCGAAGGAACGTGGTGATTGACATATGATACGTGCCGTCTTACCGGTCTTAAGAGATGAAAGTAACCTCTTCATCCCGTAAAGTATAAATCTTGATACAAATTTCATATATATATTTCTAAGTTTGGTTTTTAGAATGGATAGAGTGAGTCAAACAATTAATTTCCAATCTCCTTATCCCGATTCACCTATTCCGATTCACCGAAAATATCTTCTGACTATGAACATTTGGGTTTTATAAATATCTGTACATACTATGCTATAACATTATGTTATTCTTTGAAAATTTTAACGTATATGACTCTCTTCATCCCAACTTGATCATCCCCTAAGCAAAAAATCAAGAATAAGTACATCGAAACATCCATCATTCTGAAATTAATCATCATCGATTAAGGTATTTTGTCTTTTTGTGTTCAACGAGAATTAATTCATTCTTTAAATGTTGGATGGGTTGAACCGATAGAAATTAATCTTTGTTGGCTGCATGCATATAGTTGTGTGCATGCAGCACATTACACGATACACATTTACTATTTTCACAAATAAACAAAGTAACACTTTGTTAGATGATGATTATTTTAAAAAATTCTCAAAAATTTTAGGTGATGATTAAATTAGGATGAAGGAAGTATTAAACTAAATAAATATGCTCCTACTTTTTTTTCAACTGTACAACAATAACTTGCCATTACCTCAAAATATAGCTTTCAAGAGTAGGGGAAACTAAGTACAGGTCGTCGTCGTGAATGACGCATCATCACTATCACACCCATGACGACCACAAATCTGTTTATAACCTATATCTATGATGGGCAAAAGGTTTACTTCCAATAAGGAAAAAGAAGATGATAGAAATTAAATAAGAAAAAAGAGATTGAAGAAAACCATATGAATAATTGAAACATAGTGAAAACCTTATGAACAATTGAACATAGCGCAGTGCAGTATTTTATCGAGTGAAACAAACTCGGTGCACCGAATCGGTTCTACAGCGCACCAATACACAACACAAATCCTATTTCATTTTTTTCCACACCTCTCCTGCGTCCTGCCGGCTTCCTCCTTTCTCTCATCTCTTGTGCTGGAGGATTGAGCAATAAATTGGAGGGTTAGCAAGAGTTAGGTTCTGTTTGGTAGAGCTCCAACTCCTAAGGGCCTGTTTGGCACAGCTCTAGCTCCAGCTCCATCCCTCCTAGAGCTGGGTGGAGCTCTCTCACAAAATGAACTAGAGTTGTGGAGCTAGGTTTAGGCAGCTCCACAACTCCACTCTAGACCCAACTCCTATAGCAAAATTTAGGAGTTGGAGCTGTACCAAACAGGCCCTAAATTTAGCTCCAGAAGTTAGGTCTGGAGTGGAGTTGTGGAGCTGCCTAAACCCAGCTCCACCAGTCTAGTTCATTTTGTGAGAGAGCTCCACCTAGCTCGCTCCTATTTTTGATGGAGCTGAAACTGTTTGGCTAAGCTCTGTGCCAAACAGGCCCTTAGTTACTTGGTCCTATCTCCATCCATCAAGTGCTAATTGATGTTTATTTTGGTATTGTTGCACAAACCAAATATGATGATAAAAAATGAACGGATGGAGTATTTCTTATACATGAGATAGGTCAATTCCTCTATGATCTTGGTGACGAAATAAATATGTCTTAGGCTAATCCCGACGCAGAAACTATCAAATTATTTTAATACTCGTTACTGTCATATAGGATGTTTTTTGTTTCTTTGGTGAAGTGAAGTGACCAAGTGAATGAAGAGAGTAAATCGTTACAAATATTATGCCAACAAACAATGCCACCACATAGCTGGTGGAGTATCAATTTACATCCAGGGGTCACAGAAACCAAACAGAAAAGCTAATTCCGTGGGGATCAGTAGAGCAATGTTCAGAAACACACCTTGAAGAAAATGTTCAGCCGCACGGCCAGAAACACACCAGAAAGAAAAATGCAAATGGACATTTGCAGCAACCGAATTTATATCTAAATTGCATCAGATTTAGAAGGCGAGTTCTTTAGCATCATACGCAACAGAGCTATACCACTCATCCTGCAAGGCTATACTAGCATAATATATAAGGCTACTTATAATGTCGTACATACAGAACTAGATATGGTACCGATACGAGTTCTTTAGCATCATAAGCAGTAGAGCTATGACTCATACTGCAAGGCTACACTTTAGCCAAATATGTAAGAGTACTTCTAATATCGCTAATATAGTAAATATGGAACCAAATCCGATGAGACTACTTAATCAATATAATAAGAGGACTGCAACACCACGGATACGTCTGAATAATATCTCAAGAGATATCTCATCCACCAACGGCCCAATTCTTCCGACCTCCTCTTGATCCAGAAGGCTAAAAAAAATTCAACTGCATGAGAGAACTAGCTAACTTCATTGACTGAAATAGAATCAAATAAAGAAACTGTACATGCTACAACTAAAAAAAGAGTCCCGATAGCTAGACTTAGGGTGGTTTATGATCTAATTCTCCTCGTACTCAGAGCAGGGACCATATGACACCTTACGGATTTCAGATGCTTTTGATACAACAATTCGTGTCTAGTGCACTAAACTTATGCTATTTTATTCTGGTCATAAGGGTAACGATAAAGTTTGGTGGATCTGAATCGATAGCATATCTTTTATGTGCACACAAGCTAGCTCACTTGAGTATGTGCATTGTCTGATTATGAACTCCGAAGATTGGGCAGTTATCAAGGAGACAGAAAAAACAGCATAAAGTTAGCCAATGAAGAAAAAAGGAGTAACAATGGGCTGACCTAGTTTCTTTTATAATGGTTAACCACCCAAAATTAGCATGTATGCTGGATGATAAATACAGCATAGTTAGATCAAACACTTCATGTCGAGTTCTTATAGTTTTTGGAAAGGAAAATATGCAGACTTGAAATGAATGAATAAAACGATATCAACATGGGGCTCATGGAGTTGAATTCAAAAAATGATGGCATATGGTGCAATACTGCCAATACTACATTGGATAAGGTAGAAAGAAGGATGGTGATAGTAGTCTATAGTTTATCTTCTCTTTTCCTTTCATTACTGACTGGGGGTCACTACCATTTATTTTAAAAAATTAATTACAGTAACTCTAAACTTCAGTCAATGAAAAGTCCTTTGTTTCCGCCTTTATGTACATATGCAGAATTGCAGATTGCATAAATATAAGCAGAAAGCCTCAGCACAAAACCTTCATTGCCAGATTGCAAAAAAGATTTCAATATTCCCAACTTCACATAGAGGGTATATTTAAAAAATCGTTAACTGAAAGTGCCACTAATCAATGAAACAGATTCTTAAGTACTCGTTATTCAATAGAAAACACGGTTACTTCTAAAGAGTGGCTTTACTCAATTACTAAAACAGCTACTCCCTCCATCCTAAAATATAAGGCACAACCACTTTTTTCTATGTCTCATAATATAAGGCGTGCATGCATGCATATATTAATTATCATCTCTTGGTTCTTTAAATTTGGTTTATTTTAATTCATGTACCATTAAGTCTCACAATCACATTGCTTGCATGTATGGATGTGATTCAATCAAGGAGGTGACTAAATTTTTTTGGTCTGTGTGTTAGAAGTGGTTGTGCCTTATATTTTGGGATGAAGGGAGTACTACACATGAAACAGATTCAAAGTTCTCGTTATTTGTTCCAATTGAGTAAAATATTCATCAAGTCCATAAGATCCATAGAGATAGAAAATAAAGTCACATCATAGCTAAAATTTTGTTGCATAACAGTCTAAAACATAACTAAAAAAAGATAACATATCCATCTAACCTCTAGGAGCAGCTGAAACCAGTACAGACAAAATTAAAACCTGCAGACAACAAAAAATTCAATCAAAATGGGCTGGTGTGGACAAAGGATAATATTTTACAGTATGAAGTATGAACAGTACAGAACATATGCAATAATATCAATAAATTATCTAGACATATACAACTCAAAACTAGTCAGTGTATGATTTCATCATGCATGCATAGCAATTCAACCCAACGATAGTATAAAGCGTTTAGATGCTTGCTAGTTTGATACAAATATTATATTACCCTTCATTTTCTCTTCAACAAGTATGGGGTGCCTGCTTATCTCTCACACATGAATGCAGATTTTGACCAACGAATTTCTTTTGATTAGCTTGAATTTTTTCACTGCTTGGTTTCTTAATTAATACATGTATTCACAAATTTTATGTAAAAATAACCATGACATGAGTCATCAGATTAGCTCACATTCAGATCGACAGTGTTCACTAGTCAGTTTGATGTTAATTTTCTCGAGGGGTATGCCAAAGGTACCCAGGGTCTTCAAGAATTTGCAAACCCACATGACCTCTTTGCCTTTGCATTTAATTTCAACAATCTTAAGATGGTTGGATACAAACGGCTCTTCTGGTATCTTTTGTTGTCCTGCATCCATAGAACATTTGGGTTCCTATGCATGGAAAATAAGTTATCATACTAGCTCAATCAAAACATCTATAGTAACTTTAATAACATGCACCTATCTTATCTACAATATATAATACCTCTGGGATTTTAATAGTAAGCTTCTCCAAAATTGGTGATTGCTGTAGAAACCGAATCAATGCACTGAGGTCATGAGTCATGCACCATTCACCAAGTGCCAAAGTCTTCAACTTGGCAAATGTATGACATGCCAAGAGCAAATTTAAATCCCTCCTGAAAACATACTGCACAAAGTGCAAAGGAGCCACAGATCAATTAAGTAGCCATTATTTTTGTAAGTACAAGATGTAGTATAACCAGAAGGAAGCAATGAAAAATATTTAAAAACAATCTTTTGTTAAAGGTGTAAGTACCAAGCATGATCATGCTAATGCTACCCTAGTGATGGATATGTTTACTACATAACAAGTGGTGAAATTAAAACTATATTAGAAAGTTACAAGACAAGAAGACACAAGAAAGATATACATACCATTGCAGGTTCAGCTGACAACTCCAAGTGTGTAGCTTCCAATAAACCATTGAGACAAACGCATTTGCTGCGGTCAGAATAATTGCAGCAATCAACGCAAGAATCGTCGCCACAGTCACCAAGGACACTATTGTCACATCTGTCTGCATAATCGTCATCAAATATAACAATTGCAGCTACCAAGGATGGCATGCTTTCAAGGAAAGGAACGCTACCAGAACATCCATCTAGCTCCAATGAAACAACACTTGGAAAAGACATCTGAGTACGGGTAGCTGGATAAAATTCACAGGAGGCAAGGCTCAAGATTTTAACGGATGGAGATGACATCTTCTCGGCATTGATACGGCAGCACTTCATCTTCAGAGCAATCAGCGCCGGGCAGCAGGAGAAATCAAGAATGTTATCGTTGCCAAGAACACCATCAAGCTCTAACCTGGTGAGGCGCTGAGAGATGAGAGGCACATCAGGCAGCGTGATGTACGCGGGCAAAGAGATCCGTAGCACCCGGGCATGGTGGCGCAACAGGGCTAGCATGATCCAGCGGTTGACATGCCAATCCTTCCCCTTGTCCTCCGGGAAATCGAAGTCCAGGTCGCACAGCTCCAGAGGCGCGTCGCGGCGGCGGCGGCTGACGAAGAGGCCGTCCACGAAGCGGATGAACCTGCCGAGGCCGTCGCCCCGCAGCCGCGGATTCCACCCCTCGACGTCGGTGACGCGGAGCGCCGGCGCGTGCTCCCAGAGGTGGCGCCAGCGCCGGGCGAGCACGCACGTCCGCACCGCGTCGTGCGCCGGGAGCAGCGATAGCACGGCGTGGAGCGCCTCGTCCGGCAGAGCGCTGACGCGGTCGGGCACTTCCTCCGGCGCCGCTCGCCTCGCCGGCGCCCTCCTAATCCGGGGCGGCATTCCGTCGAACAGTTGCCGCGCTGAGCGATTAGCGTGGCAACGGAGAATGATAGAGAGAAGCGAGAGATATACTAGTTTTATAATCCATCGAACCGCCGCCGCTTCGATCGCCGGGCGTTGGCGAGCGCGTTCATTCGTCCCGGGAGGGAGGCCGCGCGTAGGGCCGAAAAATGATCCGCACTCCTATCCTCCACCTCCGCTACTGCAGTTTTCGAGCTCCGATTCATACACTTTCTAAATACTACTCCCTCCGTTTTACGATGTAAGTCATCTAGCATTTCCCACAATAGCAGACTAAGTAGTTTCTAAGAGCAGGTACAATAGCAGACTATAAGTCAGCTATAAATATATTTTAAACAGATAAATGAAGAGAGAGAAGAACAGCGAGCTACATATCTATAGCCAGCTGCAGCACGGACTCCAAGACGTAATGTGTGTATGACATGTGGAACCCGGTAATAATAATATAGTAAGCAACTATTGTATGAACTAGGAAGGTAGCCCGCGCATTTGTGCGGGCATGTATCGTGCGAGCATTCACGCAGATTAGTACTTTTTATGAAACTTATAATGACAGAATATATATCAACGGGATGACACCTGCCACGCTTTAAAAGTACTATTTCTCTATAAATTTTCTTCATCGGCATTACTTGGATAATTTTTCCAACCTATCTGTTATCTTTAAACTATATAATATTTAATTTATACCAGTAAGAAATTAATTATATTTTTTTCATTATCTTGAAAGAAGATTGACTTAAATTTGTTTAAAAAAAATATCTAATTAATTATAATATTGTTCATTATGTTGAAAGAAGGTTGACTTAATTTGTTTAAAACAAATGTCTAACAAATTAAGTGAAAATTAAAAATAAGGTGGTTTTCCTTGTAAGTTCAATGTTTAGCTGCTCTATTTTTTAGCAAATCCAAGAAAATTATTATTACTAATAAATATGTTTTGTGTGCACCATCAAGCTGCCCCTCCTTCTAATTGGTTCATGTTCGCGCCATTTGTTATATACTTACATATATATGAATGAATAAAGAGAAAAGATCCACACATCTTGTTTCCATATGACGAGTCCTAAAATTTAAATTTTATAGTAACAAATATAACTTTCAAACCAACTACTTGTTGCCTTAGTGTGGCTTATACATGCAATAATACATTAATAAACTCCTAATGCCACGATATACGGTACATGATAGATTGAATTACATTATTAGTATGTAAACACTTAAAGATGTAATGGGAAATGTTTGTTCCAATTTAAGTGAAAAATACGAAGCATTTTTTTAATGAATTTTAGATATTCTCTCATTGGTAAAATGGATCTTGAACTGTTTATTTACTTATAAATAAAACAACAGTTCAACAAACTGAAAAGTAGACATAACGTAAGAATTATGATCACTTATGATTGTTTTATATTAAAATGTTAGTTAAAAAATATGGGAGGAATGACTTGAATGAGAGAGGAGAGTAGAGGAGGGGAGAGTATGTGTGCATATCACTACAAAAGAGGGAATATAAGGCAGTGGGAGAAGGAGGGCTAGATTGGATGGGAGGGGAGGGATTTTATTTTCTTTAGGATAGATGCAATGGATTTGCGTTATTAAGATATAATGATACAAAATAATAGGTCCATTACATTAAATGGAATTTGGTAGAAAAACTATTATAAATATATTTTTTTGCCGGTTACAAATTTAATGTGTTTTAGTTACTAGTACTTTATTAGCTGAAAATAGAATGAGAGTTTTAATGTTTGATTAAGATGTATCCTTCTTTACTGGTCGTTTCCTACGGTATATTCGTAGTAGATACTAAACTATGAATAATAGTAGTTTATGACTAACCTAATAATGTTATTTTGACTTATCATAATTTCAGAATGAGGGAAGTTTCTTTTTGGAACATCACTTACAGTTAGGTCTATTTTACATTCATTATTATCATAGAACTAATTTAATTGTTGTGAAGTTGCGTAGGACGATAAAACACTGGTGGAGAAACCATCTTTGGTCGGTCGCCCGAAATCCACAATAGTCTCGGTTCCACTAAAAACCGGGACTAAAGATGATCTTTAGTCCCGGTTGGTGGCTACAGCGGGCATATTTGATCTTTAGTCTCGGTTGGTGTTACCAACCGGGACTAAAAATGATCTTTAGTCCCGGTTCTAAATCTGTCAGGCCTTGTCAGGCCCCCCGATATCTTTAGTCCCGGTTGATAACACCAACCGGGACTAAAGATAGGATCTTTAGTCCCGGTTGATATTATCAACCGGGAGTAAAGATCATCTTTAGTCCCGGTTGGTGTTACCAACTGGGACTAAAGATCCCAGGGATCTTTACTCCCGGTTGATAATATCAACCGGGAATAAAGCGTACGCACCAGCCCACGCACAAGCGCATGCGTAGCCCATCCTTATCTCTTTTTCTTCTCCTTCCTTATCTTCATCCTCTCCCCTTCCTCTTCTCTCACCCCCTCTCCTCCTCCCCTCCCCCTCTTCCTCTTGCAGAGGCAGCCGACGGCGGCGGGATGGGGGATGGGCGCGGGCTGGCAGCGGCCGGCCGGCGGTGACGGGATGGAGGCGGCCGGGCGCGGGCTGGCGGCAGCCAGGTGCGGGCTGGGGCTGGCGGCGGCCGGCTGGCAGCGGCGGGATTGCGGCCGGGCGCGGGCCAGCGGGATGGAGGACGGGCGGCGGCGGCCCGGCGTGGGCCGGCGGGATGGAGGCCGGTCGCCGGCAGCCTCGCCCTCCCCTCCTCCAGATCCGGCCAGAGGGGAAGCGGCGGGATGGAGGACGGCCGGCGGCGGCCCGGCGCGGGCCGGCGGGATGGAGGCCGGTCGCCGGCGGCCTCGCCCTCCCCTCCCCCAGATCCGGCCGGAGGGGAAGCGGCGAGATGGGTGGCCGGCCGGCGGCGGGATGGGAGGCCGGCCGGTGAGTCGATTTTTTTTTTGATTTTTTTAATTTGTGGTTTGGATGTTTTGATCTGTGAATGAATCTATGAATCGATATTGTGAATGAATCTGTGATGTTGTGAATGAGTATGTGACTCGATGTTGTCAATGAACCTTTGAATCAATATTGTGAATATATTTGTGATGTTGTGAATGAATATGTGAATGGATATTGTGAATGAATTTGTGGTGAATCTGTGAATCGTGCTGTGGAGTTGTGATGTGGATTTGGGGTTTGATTTGATGATATGCATACCACTCGATTCGGGAGAAAATAAAAAAGAAAAAAGGACTAGCTGATGGACTGCCGCTACCCTCTCTTTAGTCCCGGTTGATGACACCAACCGGGACTAAATCTTTAGTCCCGGTTGGTGTCATCAACTGGGACTAAAGATCGATCTTTAGTCCCGGTTTTTTCACCCGGGACTAAAGATAGCGATCTAAAAGCACTTCTCCACCAGTGAAATCTATATGGCTGTTTTTTCATATCTTTTTATAGTTGTTTGGGTGGCAACGAAACTCAACAAACATAACCCAAAAGTAACATATTTCTTTCTAATGTTAACTCTAAATTTAGTCATAAATAATATGACAAAATAAGTGGATAAAAATTAGTTGTATATTTTTGTTTTTAGAGTTTTCTTAATTTTTTATCACAAAGTTTGCTTTCTAAGGTATATCAAGAAAATGGGATAGGGAACACGATTTAGAGAGTGCGAGTGAATAACGGGGAAGAAGGCGGACGATGGGAGTAAGCACATCCGTGTCCATGTGTAGGCCAGGGTGGGGTTTGGGACGCGAGAAGGCTATTACGCGATCAGTCACGCGCGCCCCTCCCGGCGTGACTGGACACGTGTCGCGCGCGCAGAGGGGGTGGCGGATGCGCCGCGCGGAGTGCGAGTTTTCCTTTTTTTTTTGTTTTTTTCCGTGTTTTTCGTTTCTGTTCGGTTTGCCTTTTCTTCTGTTTTTTTCGTTTCTGTTCAGTTTGGTTTTTCTTTTTTTTTTAGTTTCTCTTCTGTTTTTTCGGTTTTTTTAAAGATGCACGAATACAAAATTTGTATTCGTATGTATACCAAGCTAGTTTGTATTCGTACGTATACAAAGTTTATATACGCATATGTAGACTTTGTATACGCGTATATAAAGTTTATAAACCCATATGCAAACTTTGTATATGTGATGTAATTTCTTGTTTTTTAATTTTTTTTAATATGTATGTATATAAAGTTTGTATAATCGTATACAAAGTTCGTATACATCGTATACAAAGTTTATATACGTCCTATATAAACTTTGTATATGTGTATTAAAAATATATTTGTAAATATATATACACACACGTATATACATATGTATATACGTGTGTATATGTAGTATATACATAAGTATAGTAGATACAGAAGAGACTAGAGGGGAGGCGACTGACCGCGCATGCGCGGGGGCGCGCGGCTTATCGCGTATCAGCGCCCCCCGTTTGGGATGTGGGTTTTTTTTTCTTTAAGCTTGGTTGCAAATAATGGGTTTATCAAATTAAATAAAAATTGATGGCTAGATGTTTTATTTTATTTTAATAAAATTTGTAGGAATCTCTCATATTTTATTTGATTATCACATGGTGGCTTAGAAATGCTCCACGGATAAGAATCTATGTAACTAAAAACCATGTAAATTATTTTTCAAGGTTACTAATGTTTATCCGATGGCTTAGTCTACTAATTTTGAATTATGTAGCAAATTCTTAGGAGTATTCTACGTGGTTACTAATAATAATATGAAAATTTTAAGTTAAAATACAGGCCAATATGGGTCATAAACTATCAATTTAGCTGTAAATACAATGATGAATAAAAAAAATGAGACGTACTACCTCCGTCTCAAAATATACCAACTCTTAGCTATGAATTTAGGACATATACATATCTAGATACTTAGCTAAAAGATGCTATATTCTACGACGGAGAGAGAGTATAATTTTGAAGTTATGGCTATTTAAAATTTATTATCACAACTTTTTATCTGATACCGCTGTACATAAAAAGAAGATAGAAAATAGGAGGGAAGCAGAGGTTAGAGATGGAATGTATTTATTACTAACCGGCAAGCAAATCCATCGGTGTATTCATGAATCGACCACTTATACGTGTGCATAGGCGTGTGAATAGCAAAATCCAATAGCCAAAAGTTAATCATCAGCGCTTCCACATATCCTGAATGGTGGAGTTGAACGGAGGCAAGGACGTCCGAGCAGGAGCAGAAGCAGGATCATGACCAT